AAAATATTTTCCTAATTCCCTGAAAAATAATGTCAATCAAACGGGCCTTTAGTATAACTCTTTTGATAATCATTATTTTAAATTCTTTATTTTTATATTCATTTTATACTATCTATTTATCCAATAAAATATTTTATATTTTTCTTACTCTTCAATCGCGTATCCTTCAAAAATTACCATTCAAAACTTCATTTTCTCAAAATAACGGCAATAGAGCTAAATCTTTTACACGCTGATTAATGAATTAATTCCCCCCGTATTCACCACTGCTGCCGCAACATTTTTGCAGGCTTACTTCCCAATGGCGATTTCGAGGCCACTCCACCTGGAGGATTCTCCTCAGAAGCCGGACTTTCCGAGGGCGAGGCAACAATCCCCAGCTGGAAATCCAACGGTACAGTCGAACTGGTCGAATCAGGCCAAAAACAGGGCGGAATGATCCTCATCGTGCCGCAGGGTGCACATGCTGTGCGGCTCGGTAACGACGCCGAAATTAGCCAAGAAATCGCTGTCGAAAAGGGCTCACTGTACTCGATAACATTCAGCGCAGCTCGAACTTGCGCCCAGTTAGAGTCGCTCAACGTTTCGGTCCCGCCGGCGTCGCAAAACATTGATTTGCAGACTCTGTACAGCGTTCAGGGCTGGGATTCATACGCGTTGGCCTTTCAGGCAGAGGAGGATAATGTGCGGGTGGTGTTTAGAAATCCTGGTATGGAGGATGATCCCACTTGTGGACCCATCATTGACAATATCGCTATAAAGAAGCTTTTCGTACCCGATAACGCCAAAGGTTAGTAGAATTCTCTATTTTAAAATACAGTACTTTACTTTTAGCCATTCATCCTTCAATCAAATCACGTTTGCTATGATGTTGAACTAATAGAAGAAGGGAAAGATATTTGTGGGGCGAACACTGTATGGATCTTGGAAGCATTGGATGCTTGTGTGCTAAAGACACGTTTGGCAAGCTTAAAAATTTGCGTAATTTACTTCTGAGGAAGCAAAGTAACTTCTAAAATAAACTATTTTTATTGATCTAAGTTGAAAAGTAAACTACACGTCCAAACTGTTTGGAAAAAAGCTATTTAAACAGAAGTTTTGCTTTTTCCTTAAGCTTAGCCAAATGTGCTCCAACAAGTGAATCAAAATTACAGTCGGTCACTAGTGGATATCCCCACTGTTACATCTCTACCTTATACATCAGCTAGAAGATTGTTTACTGTCAAATTTGCATATAATTGTTTGAAGTAGTGCCATTTTTATTTAAAGATAATTCTTTTACTCAAAAGTTCAGTTCCTTCTTATTATTGATTGAACAGACAACAATCTCCTGAGATTTTTTAAATGCCATTTGCGTAAGCCAAAAACTTAGGTGTGTGCGATCAGGATCGATGAGCATGAGCTGTACAATAGTTATGTATTCTTCCATGATTTTCTTCATTGATAGCACCTACCATTCGAAAATCGAAAGTTCAGCATATGAGCTCCTTTGTTTTTCCTCGAAAGTTCATTACTGATTTTAGCTTGCTAATCTGTTATGTTTTCAACATAATCAGATAATGCCGTTGTTAATGGTGATTTCGAAGAAGGCCCTTGGATGTTCAGAAATGCTTCACTTGGTGTTTTACTCCCCACCAAGCTGGATGAAGAGACGTCCTCATTGCCCGGTTGGATATTTGAATCAAACAGAGCCGTCCGCTACATTGACTCGTACCATTTCTCTGTCCCGGGAAGCAAACGAGCCATTGAATTGCTTTCTGGAAAGGAAGGAATTATCTCGCAAATGGTCGAAACCAAGCCTAATAAGCCTTACAGATTGACGTTTTCATTAGGCCATGCCAGGGACTCCTGCAAGCAGCCACTAGCCATCATGGCCTTCGCTGGTGATCAAGCCCAAAACATCCATTATACTCCAGATTCCAACTCTACATTTCAGACAGCTAATCTTAACTTCACAGCCAAGGCCCAGAGAACACGAGTCGCATTCTACAGTGTTTATTACAACACAAGAACTGATGACATGAGCTCTTTATGCGGTCCAGTAGTAGATGATGTGAGAGTAGAACAATCAGGGTGTAAAGGCATTACCCCAGGATTTTTAGGGTTGATTCTGGTTTTGAGCATTTTGCTGTTCATTTGATTTCTTGTTTAGGTTTAAGGTTGTGGTTTGGTTAAGTTGTAATATGACTTGATTTTCATGTGCTGGCAGGGGAGTGTTTGGTAAACCAAACTGTTATGTATGGACTCAAACAAAGTCCAAGACTGAAAAGTATAAAGGAATCTGAAAATGTTGAGAGCACTCAGACTGAGGTGAGGTCATCTAAATTGAACTTCTCTCAACCTCAAAAAAAGGAAGTTGAAATAGTGGCGTTCCGCCTTCAAACTTACCATCACAGTTTCAATAAACCGTTTTAAAAAATTGTGATCTGTGTAGATCGTCACGTTTTCACAAATAGTATTGTATCAGTAGCAGATTATACAATCAGTACAGGAGTTCAAAAAACTGAAGCATGCTCAAGAACATATCAATCAAGAATTAATCATATGTGTTTCGTGCGTTTACTTGTTAACAATTAAAAAGGGATCAGACGATGATTGTGTAAGGGACAAACCTCTTGGAACAAAGTCCCAAAAATGGGTGTTTATTGAATATGAAGATTACAGTTTGGACGCGAACAAGATGCCTCCAAGGGGCGCAAAAACACAAGTACGAGAGAATTGAAATAATTAAAGTTAATCTAAGAAAATGTAAATTACATATTCTCTGTTTGAGAGTGAATTTTGTCGGGACTATCTTCGTTGTCTTCTTCTTTCTTTTATACGGCTTGGTCAGTTTTTAATCGTTTATAAACTGCTTGAAACCACCCATTTTCTTTATCATGCCAACAACTGCCGTGTGTAACTCCTATTATCACGTCCTCTTCATAACTGCTTGTCACCAACTCTCTCAAATCGTGGGGCGTAATTGTGATGTGCTCAAACAGCCTTAAATCGTGACTTTGGAGAACAACAAGCTTTAATCATCGTTGGGACTCTGGGCGACTCAGCATTTTTGGACTACAATTGGTCTTCCGCTCTGGGCGATTATAGGATACTTCATTCGCTCAACATTTGGGCGTTCTGTAGGCTTGAGCGACAACGCACCTTTATTTTTGGGCTTTCATCATATTTAATGACATTTTTGGTTGTGCTTTTACCCTGNCCATAGATGGGACCAAGTCCACATCTGGCTCAATAGAGTTTCAAGAAATAGTGAATGGTTTTATCAATACACGAAAGTACAACTTTTCAGGAATTTCAATTGTGCTCATACTCATCACTGTAGGAATTGGGTTCAAGCATATTAATAGAGCAGGACCCTGACTGTTTTGAATAGAACGGCAAAAAAAAGAAAAGAAAAATATTATAGCTATTTGCACAACACACGTGTTTAATAAATGTGACCCCGTCTTATACAGTTTAAATCCTATATCTACTCAAAAATCAGTAAAGTTAAAATATCTCTTTTCTTTGCGAAACATTTTTTGAAAAATGAAGTACTTTCTCATTCAAAAATCAGGATATTTTGAATAACTCTTAATCTTAACCCAACCGCCCTTGAATGCAAGAAAGAGCATCCGACAGCGAGTCTACAAGCCACTGAAGTGAGGTTTTGGTCTGCTTTCCCTTACACGAAAAGTAAATAGAAAACTTATCCCACTTAAAGACGGAGATTAAAATCATAAATTAAACAATTACACTTCATGCAAAGTTGCAAACTATCCTCATTCCTTGTCATCATATACAGAGTGAAGTGTCTCTCTTGCTCATGATTCATACTTGTAGGAGATTGTGTATATTAATGATTGAACGCCACAGGTTTATAGCTTCGTCATAATCTTTATTAATTAATGTATCCAAAAGCATCCTCGGTATATTCACTTATTTTGGGGTAGAAAGGTCTAGTCCTTATTTTCGGATTATCCTAGTTCATCAAAGCCATTGAACCATCGGTTGCTGCTACACAGGAGCATTGGCCTCTTTCGATGTGTCTGGTTCCCGATTAATCCCATACAAATTGCCATTCTCAATCTTCTCTTCTTCTGGAGTACCCCATGAATACTTCACTACTATGTAAAATTTATAAAATTAATCGAGCATCCATTACTTGAATTAAATGTGATGTATAACTTTTTGTTGACTTTCGAATTTGGTGAGATTTGGGTGTCAACGTATTTCTGTTTCAACCCATCTCTCATTCATGTGTATATTATCTGCACATTTGGACAACTACATTAGAAGGCATATATTGTCGCTCCAGATGAGAGGTGCAATGATTTTATGATCTCTGACACTCAAATCAAATGACATTCTATATTTGACTATGAGAGAAATACAAATAGAAAGAATATAGGAGTTTGATTTCGATACATCTCAACACCTTTCAAATGATACATAGGCTAGGTATTTAAGAGAAGCGCTATGTGTATATAATTTTGGTCCATAATGATTCACATAACACTCACACGGAATGTGGTCCACATGACATTCACATGGTTAATGGTTTATCTCAAAGACTCACATGCTATCTTAATGATATGACTACAATCTGCCGTAGGTGCCACATCACTCATTTCACACATTGTTCAAGGTGTCAAAAATTATCACATTTGGTGGGGCCGTGGCCGTGGGTTGGGTCACTCCGATGTTGACGCCTTGGAGTGACGATGTAACAGTTGTTGTATGTATCATCGCCTAGGGTGGGGCCTATGACTAGGCATGGGATGTGCTCCCAACACCTTAGAAGAATGGACAGACGAGGGCAATGGAACAAAACAATGACTTCATCCACTAGCTGAGCCATGTTGGGCAAGAGGGAGCCACTGCCCCCTCAAAGTTTCTGAAAATTTACCGTTGGCTCAAACCCCCTTTTTTTTTTCCAAGTTCAATAACTTTGAACCAAAAAAATCAAAATTTTGTCCACTTCAAACCCTAATTTTCAGGGAATTGACATGATGGTTTTTTGTGGTTAAATATTCAATACTTTAATCCAATTTTAGCGCTACTATTGTTTAATGTTGATAATAAAAATTATTGTGTTGCCTATAATCCAAGAAGTTGAATTAATTATGCATTTGTTTTCTAGCATTATAGGAAGGATTGGAGTTCTTGGTGTTTTCTATGCATTTATTTATTTATTTATTTCTTGGTGTTTTCCTTGTGTTAGGTACCTAAGTTTAAAATATGGTTTGTTCTCTTGTATACTTCATTTGGAATTGATTACTGAAACAGTGTTGAATTTTTACTATTCATCGAAATTGCTTATTTAATATTGAATTCAATGTCAACATATTAAAAAGGCTAAAAATTTTTGATATAAAGATTAAAATGTTCTTAGTTTAGTTAAATAAGTGAAAATTTAAATTTTAAAAACATAAAATAAAAAGATAAGTCAGCTCATCCCGTCACCTAATCCTCCATAATAACATATCCAATGCAACTGTGGATTGCTTAAAAAATGTGCCATATAAACAAAACAAAATAGAAATGCAAGTGACAATGATTCAATCAACATGACGTGATGGAGAAAAATAGATATTTTCTAGAGTTTCGTCTAAGGATAAATCTATATGTACATAATTATTGTACATAATGAATTACATAGGCTAATGTGAAAGAAATTTGATCGTGGATGTGAAGTGTGGAAAAGTCAAAAATTGTAGACTACTGATGGATACGCGCCACGTGTTAATTATGTAATGTATTATGTAAATGATTATATACTTGTAGTATGGTCCTCCGTCTAAATTCAAAAGTTCTCATAGACATGCTACTTGATAAGATTTGTAGATTCAAATGCAACTTTGTTATTATTTTGAGAAATGAAAGCTACCTAAATAATAATCAATAGAATACACTGGAAACTAATATTGAAATTGAGTGTCTATTTATTAAAAATCAATATCATGCGGATTGAAAGTCATTCAATTTCTAATTTTTTCTCTACTGCATCATCATCATCTTGACAGAGTATCTATCAACTTGCATTAGAATTGATTTTTTTTAAAATTCTTTCTCATTTTGCTTATATGACACAATTTTTCAAAAAAATCATGCTTCATTGGAGAAGCACAAGTTGGTAGGATGAGTTATGCTTTATATTTGTCATATTTATTTAAATTTTCTTTTGAACTTATTTTATTTATTTAACTAAAAGTAAGGTCATATTGATCTTTTAATCGAAAGTTTGACATTTTCAATCATAAATTGGAAAGAAACTATCCAAAAGGATCAATTTTGCTCATTAAACGAAAGGTTATGGATGTCTATACCAATATTTGAAAGTTAGGGAGCCTTTGTGCAAAACCCCATAAATTAGGGAACATTAACTCAAATTTTCCATTGGATTATTGTTCCAGTACTTTCTTTAGCTTCTGCAACTTCAATATTTTTTTTTGAAGTGTCGTGCACACTTGTGCTACTAAAGAAGATTTGGCTTCACGTTTTCTTGTCAAGAATACTTCAAGCTTCTGTACACGTCTTTTGGTGTTCTCTTATACAAAACTTCTATTTAGAAAAATAGAAACCTATTTGAATGGGACATCTTCCCTGATGAACTGCCTTCTTCAAGATGACTAGACTCGGCCTCTGTTTGAGCCCTATTTTTAGGTCAAGACGCATTTTGAAATAATATTTTGTTGCAACATGTGTTGTTAAAAAATAAGAATTTTTTTTGAATTTTGATGTAAAATTAATTTATGGGAGAACGTGTGGTTGAAAATGAGTTTTGAAAAAAAAATGAAATTTTGGAAAAATGGGAGCTAAACGTAGGTTTATATTGGTCTTTGTCCAAAATATATTTTGAAATAGTATTTTGATGGAGAGTGTGGTTAAAAAATAAGGAAATTTTTTGGATTTACGCGTAATATTATTTTAGTGAAAAATGTGTGATTAAAAAAAAAGGAGAAAAAATGTATTATGAAAATAATGGGAACCAAATAAAGGCATAATTGGATGTCAAATTTTAGTTTCTAGACCAAGAAACTGTGGGTAAAGTAATATATAGTGCAAGTTTGGCCAAATTCAAGGCTAGCAGTTTTATTAAAACTGTGGGTAAAGTAATATAGAGTGCATGTTTGGCCAAATTCAAGGCTAGCAGTTGTATTTCAACCAATCAAATGTGCTTTTATCTATACATTATACTCAAAAATATTATTTACTTACTATTCACACATTCTCAGTTTTTTATATTTAAAATTTAGCCTTGTTTTAGCTCCATTTTATCAAAAAATTGTTTTTTTCAAAATTCACTTTCAACCACCTATTCTCTAATAAAACAATATTACATTTAAATAAAAAAAAATTCTTCATTTTTAATCACACATTCTCCAAAAATCACCATTCAAAAAATTCATTTTTTTTACCTCTCAAAATGGGGCTCATAAAATGGTTTAATTTAAACACCAAAAAATGCTCGTAGGAAGGTTGAGGAATCGAGGAAACATCCAAAAAGTGTCAATTTGGTTATAATTGAAAATTTGATGATTAAAAAGAGAGAAAAACGGAAAGGGTAATTAGCATATAACGTCTTTATTTTTCACTATTATTGTGAAAAACGTCATTACCTTTCATTTTTTAACATTTTCACTTTTATTTTCAAATTTCATTGCGCAAAATGTATTTTTCATCAACTTTTTTCAATTAAAAGCTGTGAAACGATGAATATATCATTTCATTTAAATTAAACAAAAAAAGAAAAAGAAACAACTAATTGCAATCACAGTCCTAAATTTTTTTTAAAAAATGCAAACGAGTTCCAAATAAATTATTAAAAAATTAAAAATTTTAAGAAAATAATTTTCTCTAATTTTCTTTTTTTTTATTTAAATAAGAGGGTATATTCGTCATTTCACAATTTTTGTATTGAGAAATTGAATGAAAATAAATTAAAAAGAATGATTTGCTCAATTAAATGTGTAATTAATGGTGAAAATGTCAAAAAATAAAAAGTAGTGACTTTTTCACAATAATACTGAAATGTAAAAAAAAATTTTGGGACTCATTTGCATTTTTTTTAAAAAAATTTGAGACTATGGTTACAATTAGTTCTTTTTTTCTTTTTATTATATATATATATATATATATACTAGGTGTAAACAACGTGCAATGCACGTTTGCCTAGTTTATATTTAATAATTTTGTTTAAGGATTAATTTATTATTAATAAAGATGTAATTTTTTGGTTAAATAAATAATTAATCATGTAATGTTTATGTAATTGATAAATAATTAGATGTGTGATTTTGATAAAATTGATTTTTGAATAGTGATATGATGGGAAATGTGTGGTTGAAAAAGAAGAAAAAAGTATTGATGTGATGGAAAATATTATTTTATTGAAGAATGTGTGGTTGAAAATGAGAATTGATTTACTGTAGAAAAGGAGAAGTTTTACCAAACAGGCACTAGACTCGGCCTCTGTTTGAGCCCTATTTTTAGGTCAATACGCATTTTGAAATAATATTTTGTTGCAACATGTGTTGTTAAAAAATAAGAATTTTTTTTGAATTTTGATGTAAAATTAATTTATGGGAGAACGTATGGTTGAAAATGAGTTTTGAAAAAAAAAAAATGAAATTTTGGAAAAAATGGGAGCTAAACGTAGGTTTATATTGGTCATTGTCCAAAATATATTTTGAAATAGTATTTTGATGGAGAGTATGGTTAAAAAATAAGGAATTTTTTTGGATTTACGCGTAATATTATTTTAGTGAAAAATGTGTGATTAAAAAAAAGAGAAAAAATGTATTATGAAAATAATGGGAACCAAATAAAGGCATAATTGGATGTCAAATTTTAGTTTCTAGACCAAGAAACTGTGGGTAAAGTAATATAGAGTGCATGTTTGACCAAATTCAAGGCTAGCAGTTTTATTTCAACCAATCAAATGGGCTTTTATCTATACATTATACTCATAAATATTATTTACTTACTATTCACACATTCTCAGTTTTTTATATTTAAAATTTAGCCTTGTTTTAGCTCCATTTTATCAAAAAAATATTTTTTCAAAATTCACTTTCGACCACCAATTCTCTAATAAAACAATATTACATTTAAATTTAAAAAAAATCGTTTTTAATCACACATTCTCCAAAAATCACTATTCAAAAATTCATTTTTTTCCCCTCTCAAAATGGGGCTCAAACAAGGGTTTAATTTAAACACCAAAAAATGCTCGTAGGAAGGTTGAGGAATCGGGGAAACATCCAAAAACGGTCAATTTGGTTATAATTGAAAATTTGATGGTTAAAAAGAGAGAGAAGCGAAAAGGGTAATTAGCATATAACGTTCTTACCTTTCACTATTATTGTGAAAAACATCATTACCTTTCATTTTTTGACTTTTTAACCTTTATTTTCAATTTTCATTTCGCAAAATGTATTTTTCATCAACTTTTTTAATTAAAAGCAGTGAAACGATGAATATATCATTTCATTTAAATTAAACAAAAAAAGAAAAAGAAACAACTAATTGCAATCATAGTCCTAAATTTTTTTTAAAAAATGCAAACGAGTCCCAAATAAATTATTAAAAAATTAAAAATTTTAAAAAAATAATTTTCTCTAATTTTCTTTTTTATTTTATTTAAATAAGAGGGTATATTCGTCATTTCACAGTTTTTGTATTGAGAAATTGAATGAAAATAAATTAAAAAGAATGGTTTGCTCAATTAAATGTGTAATTAATGGTGAAAATGTCAAAAAATGAAAAGTAGTGACTTTTTCACATTAATACTGAAATGTAAAAAATCTTTTTGGGACTCATTTGCATTTTTTAAAAAAAAAATTTGAGACTATGGTTGCAATTAGTTCTTTTTTTCTTTTTATTTTATTTAAATAGATATATATATTCGTCATTTCACATCTTTTAATTAAGAAAATGAATGAAAATGACATTTCGTACAATGAAAGGTGAAAATATGTGTGAAAATGCGAAAACATGAAAAGTTAGAACATCTTCTACAATAATATTGAAATGTAAAAATATTATGTGCTAGTTATATCCAAAGGGAAAAGCACGCCCATGTTTGGTTTTAATAAAATTAAATTTTTAGTGGATTTTGATAAATTTGATTTTATTTTTTAGTCAAGAAATGGAGCCAGAACTAAATAAAAGACCAGAAAAGAAATTAATTACTAAAGATGAATTAAAATTGACCAAAATAGAATTAAGAAATTTCCTCTACAATTGACTATAATAGACTTCTCTCGATTCCGTAACCGAAAATAGTCTGGTTTGGCTGTGAGCTCAGGCTGTATAAATTTGTCCATACATAGAAATTTTTTCCTTCGAGAGATCATTCCCTTCTCTCTCCTCTCTCCTGCTAATGGAACAAGCCCTAATTCCCACCTCTTCATCACCACCGTACGATCACGATCACGATCTTAGTGATGATCATGATCATGAACCCGATTTCTCACCGGTCGGATCTCCGGAACTTGCTGAATCTCACTTCCCCCGGCCGCCCGATCCACCTCAGGCTTCTGTGCTATCTGATGATCTTCGGAACAAGATCATCAAGCAGGCAAGTTTTTTATTTTACAGTTTAAATTTGCTTTATTGCGTAGATTTTGACTTTAAAATGTTACTGAAAAATTGGGCGGTTGATTTAGTTATTTTAGCAGTTGCTGATTTGGAGTAGGGTTTATTTAAAAATTGCTGATTTGTAGTAGGTTTTTATTAGTAATATGTGATACTCGATGTTTTCAAGACTTTAGGAACTTATGTACAGCATCAAAAAAATTGATTATTACTTTAAATTGTTACCGAAATTTTAGAATGTTGATTTTATTATTAGTAGTTACTGAAATTGTGCTGCAAGTTCTTGAAGTCTTGCATCTTGAGGATCACTGATGATTATTGCGCATATGACTTTCATTTCTAGGAGGGTTTTGAATTGGTGGAGGGCGAATGTTTAATTTTTGAGTTGTTAATAGGGTATTAAGATAAGCAATTTGTTTAGTTATGAAGTTGAAAATTCCGATATTTGGAGTTTGATTGGTTTAGTATGAGACTAGTGTCCATTTTGTAATATTTTTTTCATGTCATGTTTAAAAGTTTTGTAGGCACTTATTTCTCTTTATCTGGTGGTTAGGTACATTAGGACCAGAGATGGTTTCGTATAAGATTCCCTTGATTTTTGCCTTCAATTTTAACGTAAGAGGCAATTCAGGCCCTAGAGTGTTTTGTTTTCTGTTCAAAAAGTTTTGTTTTATATAATAGCTGGACGATTACATGTGATTTTTCACGGTATTTGCTGATTGGTGAGGAAAGGAAATGATTTAGGGTTTAATGGCGTTCATTTGCAGTTTAATTCTAGCAATATTGCAGTTTAAGTGCATCTGTTAATCAAAATATGCTTTTGAAATTTTTTTCAATTTGCAGGTAGAATATTATTTCAGCGATGAAAATCTGCCAAATGACAAGTTTTTGATGAAGTGTGTGACAAAAAATGCTGAAGGGTTTGGTGAGTTCTAGTTATTTTTCTTTTATAGATTAAATTTACCGTTTTCCAATGTTACTTCTGTTACCCAGTGTTACTAGGAAGTGGTAATTCTAAATCATTACAAATTGCATCTAATTTTTGTTTCCAAATGTGGTAAACTAACTAATTGGAATGCTGAAGTTGGTACTCTGAAATCTGGGAAGTTATCATCTGTAAAAATTGATTAGAGAAAAAGCTTAAACTGTTACTGCATACTATTTTCTCTGGTGTGAGATTACTATGTATTCCAATGAACCACTTATTGGGGACGCAAATGGAATGCTGTATATTTGCATGATTATCTATTTAGGATAATAAAATGGAATTTCACAGCATAGTACAGAACCTAGATGACTTGGCTCAAATTCCTGGCATGCCATGTGTGAAGGCTTGAAGCTGATTGTCCTCAATATTTAGCTTATTCTTCAAGTGAACTAGTCAATCTCCCCATGTTCTTTCTTGGTGCAGCTCTTTCTCTGGTGCCCAATAAGCTATCCATTGTATCTTGGAGAAATATACGTTCACAGATGTTTTTGAAGTGGTGGTGGTCACAGTGAAATTTGTAGTTTTTGCCCATTTAAATGAATAGAAGCTTTAACATAATTCACCAAATAGTGACTATCCAGGATCTCTCTTTCTCTACCTCGTGCCCCTTCTTTTTTCCGCCTTTCCTTTTCCTGGCAATATATTATTGTGCATGTTAGAAATTGAGGTTTATATCTACTCTCATCTCTAAAAAAAAGTTTACTGTCTTCCAGTTCCTGTTGGAGTTATTGCTTCTTTTAGAAAGATGAAGAAGCTCACAAGTGACATATCATTGATAGTGGCAGCCCTCAGTGAATCCGAGCATCTTGTAAGTGACTTAGTTTTTCTGGAACTTTACTTTGTAACAGCATTCTTAATGACCAAATTTCTCAAAAAGTATGATACTCTTGATAATTGTCTTAATGTTACCTAGTTTAATTAGTTTCTCGAATGGTCTTCTTTTTGCCATAGCCATCATTTCATTTTTTCCAAAATTCCTATTACTAGTCAGTGTGCCCCTGCTGACTGCAGGTAGTTAGTACCAATGGGAAAAAGGTGAAGCGTCTTCATCCTCTTCCTTTAGCTGAGGTCAAGGATCCTATGGTAATATTTTTGCGTGAAATGAAACATGATATCTTTAATCTGACATGTGGTTTTAGAAGATATTAAGTCTTGATCTATCTTCTAGCTGTGCACTGTTTTGGTGGAGAATTTGCCTGAGGATCATTCAGTAGAGAACCTTCATCGAATGTTTGGTGAAGCTGGAAAGTATGCATCTTTCCCTTATCTTCATTTATGCTGTGTCCACGTTACTTCTTCCCTGGTTGGCCATTTAACAGTTCTTCTTCTTCCAAATTTTTAGCATAAAGCATATTACCATCCGTGACCCACATGCTACAAGGGAGCCCAAAAAGTGCACAATTGCAGAGAAGCTGCTGAGTGGGAAGGTACGGTAAATAAGTTTTCCTTTTAATCAAAAAGGGAATGCGATGTAGGATGAGATTGGGTACGCTCTTAATCTCAATTAAAGTAACTCCAGTTCCCAAACTGGCTCCAACTCGTACAAACTTCAGATGTGTTGTTATTTAGAGCTTATGGAAAAAGGCTTAAGATGGATAACATCTCTGTGCCCTCCCACTCTAGAAGCTGTCTTTATAAAAATGGTTATAGTTACAATAGCTGATGCATTAAGTGCTACCTACATTTTTGAGTAAGTAAAATAAAAGGCACATAAACACACAAAACTCAGAGAGTTGCGAACTGAATACACTTGCATGGAGAAATAGTTACATAGATAGATGCTTGTCTGGCTTGAAAGGATTTACCATCTAGAATTATTATCTTAAATTTTCAATAAATACCCGTTGACCCATTAATATCTCCTGGTTTCGACATGTAGTTACATGCTCTTGTGGAGTATGACACTGTGGAGGCTGCTGAGAAAGCTGTGAGTGCGAAGCAAAACCCTTTTTATAGTGCTAGTGACTCTAATGAAAATTTTATTACATTGGCATGTTAACGATGCTAATTTGAATTAGGTGGTCACTTTAAATAATGAACAAGATTGGAGATTCGGATTGAGGGTCAAGCTGCTTAAGAAAACGGTAATTGCTCCTATTATCTCCCTTTCCCTTTTGGCGACGGAAGCATGTTATGTACACACATAGTGTTGGCAATACTAATATTAGTTTTTTCTTTTGACCTATTAGAGCAAGCCTGGACAGAAGAAAAAAGTTTGGAGGGAATCAGAGCCCGAGAAGAGTAACAACACTCAACTGTCTGATGCAGTAGGGAATGAGGAGAATCTCTATTCAAGTGAGCATCATGACGATTCACATGACGACGAGGTGCATATTAAATCTTGTAGAAAGCTATTTTCTTCGTTCATCCTCGGTAAATTACATTTGGTTCAGTTACATCAGTTTTTACAGTAATATTAGTGGTTTTTGCTGAACAAGGTTCTGCTTGATTAGTATTATTTTCCAAAAAAAAAAACTATTGGATGAAGTAGCGAAATAAGAAAATGATTCCTGTTAAGAAATTATAGAAAACTTGGTATAACTGAAATATTCACGAGCTCACGAGTGCAGGCTTGATGCCCTCTGCAGATTGCATAGCAAAAGTGTGTCGAATATGTAAAAAAGTTTGCTGTTTTTATGCATATTAGGACGTGGAGCATTTCGCGAAGGAGAAAAATGGGGCACATTTACCTAAAGAGAAAGATGGGAATAAAGGTCGAAACAGAGGGCGTGGAAGGAGACAAAAACTTTACAGCACAAATGAACATGGTATTGTAGAAGTTACTAGTATATTTTCTTTCTTTTGTTCAATGGTATCTTAATTTATTTGTCTTCTATGGACCTTTTTTCAAAAAAATATATATTTTCAGGCCATGGAACACATGCTTCAAGTCATGGTATTGAGCCTTCAAAGCCGCCTCCAGGCCCAAGAATGCCTGATGGCACCAGAGGATTTACTTTGGGGAGAGGCCGGCCACTGGCTTCCAATTGATCATCCATGTTTGACTAAGCTTTGAAGTTACTTAACTTCATTGAAAAGTAGCTACAGACGTGCTTTTCAAATAAGCTTCGCTGAACGTAAGAGAGCCGTTTCACTAGCTACCTGTTGGTGGCAAAGTAAATATATTTACGAGGTCTACAATATCAAGTCGGGGTTATTCAGTTAACAGTGTGTTCTGTTACTTCAGTTCTGTATTTGAGGGATTTCAACATTGCTGCGTGGATTTGCAATTGAACCCGTCTCGGGTTGTAATATTATGATATTGTGGACCAAAAAAATGTAACATTATCGAGTTTCAATGTAATATAGTCTGGGCATTTAAAGGTTGGTTTGATTTGTCAAGATATAAAACTGTCCCTGTTTGATGCCATTATAAAGAGATATTAGGGGAAAATGATGTTTTAAATAGTGATTTTTTGAAGAATGTGCCGCTAAAAAGTAGAGAAAAATTTTAAATTTACGTAGGAAATATTTTATTGTGTGAATATGTGGTTGAAAATGAGTATGAAAAAAGAAAGAATTTTGGTCATGTTAATTGCCTTCACGACATTGGGTATACTTATATGGTATTGCACATGATGATTGTTAAATTTTTGGTTGAAGCAGTGTTAAATTAAGTATGACATTTATTTTTTCTTTGGCTGAAGGGTTTTGCTATGCTCTGTACAATCCTTCGGGTTCACGATTTTTTTATTGGTTGTGGGCCTCCCTCTATTGTGAGAGGACGTCGATCCCGATGTACAAATAGCAAAATTCTTGGCTAAAATGCAAAGAGATTTTCTAAATTCTTGTGATGGTTGACCAGGATTATAAAATGACTTGCCATTGCGTAAAATCAAAAAACTTTGAAATGTAAAGTTACGATTTTAGTTGTAAATTTATTTTGTAGAAAGGATATGTACTTGAAAATAAATTTGAGAAAGTGATTTTGAAATATTGTAAGGCCCTGTTTGATGGCCTTGCTTTTCCATGGTTTCCATTTTCCCACTTTTTGGCTGTTTGATGACAATAATTTTCCATGGAAAATTTTTACTCCCCCAACCCCCCACGTGCCTTATTTCTTTGTTTTGGATGAAAATTTGGTGGGAAAAAATTTTCCATGAGGCTGTTGCAATATTTATTTATTTTTTTTTTTTGGTAATGGAAACAAATGTCATAACCAAGTGTAAAAAAAAAAATTTCACTTTAATTGACAATTTTCATGTAAAACAAAATCAAACGAACACTAAATTTTAATGAAAAGAATGATTTTTCAGGAAACAATTTTTTTCTTTTTTTTTTAGGAAACAAATTTTATAACCAATTGTGGAA